CAAGTGGCTCCGCACCACAGTCAGAGTGACGGTGAGTCACAGAGTGTATGCGATTTTGGGAGAGCTTCAGCCAATCAGACAAACATATGACATTAGGATAAAGCTCTTTTTGCTATTACCATAGATACCGTAACTAAACACCAAGGAGATTGTATTCAAAACTTCCAAATCTGGAATATGAATATTATCAAGAAAATCAGACTATTGAAAAGTACTGCCTACAGTCCATACTTCACCGGATGAATTGAGCTATGATTCAGGCTCCAAACCTTGTCTTTTTGTACACATGCGGTGAAATAATGTATCGTTTTCTGAAGACTTAGAAAGAGTTATCCTTTGGTTGTTTTCTGTTTGTCCAGCCTATGACTAATGACAGAGCATGCCACCAGACTTTTATAAGAGACATCGTATTCGGCGTTGCCAATATAAAGCGCCAGCCTTAGCACCGAGTTTCAACTAATCAAAGTGGCAAGAGAAATTAATCTTTTTTCCTATCTCTGGTACTATAGTATGTCTCTTACCATCACTCACTCCCACCAAAGTTGCCCAATTTTCCTATATACCCTTTACCTTCTCTTTGAGATGGTTTTGAGAAGCATAACCACTTTCATCATCGGCTTCTCGTCCCAGTTGCAGAGGTTCTTGATCTCAATTGGTACCTCCATTCGCAATCCAGCGCCCAATCACTTTCAGCCGGTCCCACATGCCCTTGGATGTATCTGTTTTAACTGACTGACTGACTATATTCCCTCGATCTCGTACACACCGCAAGCATCATACTCGAGAAACAATTCTCACAAGGGGCCCGCACTGCAGGCAGGTTCTTTTACCGCTGTATCAGATATAGAAAACTCTTTCAAAACTATGCACTAAGGAAGAAAAGTGATATTTCAAGTGTAGAATGACGAAATAATGGGTTCCATTAGGGACTTTTTAATTTCGGTTTGGTTACTATGTTACGAGGAGAGGAGCCTGAGTAATGGGTGCGACGCAGGAAAGTCGGAAAGCATGAGGTTGAGATGAGGAATCCAATGACCAGAATGTTAAGCTCAAGGCAAGAGTCTCAATAGTAATGAAAGTCAACTGAGACATCGAACCCGGTTACCTTCCAAGCTAATTTCGACGGCGATACCGGTGGACCATTCGAGGCTATATTCACAAGGCTGCAACGGTGAAGTTTGTAACACGACCGGAGCTCTGTAGACATCATCATTTCGCGAATAGGCGGAAATAGAAAGTGTGTCACAGAGGGACTGGCTAATTGTTGCCGATTTGATTTAATTTTCTTTGAGCAAATTGCTGCCAGGGCTGAAGTCGAGACCATTCCGGAGTTTGGTTCGGTAGTTAAACCCATCTTGACTTCATATCTCAGAAGTAACTTGAATCGAACAAGTAAAAATGACCTCAAGTTTCGTCATAGGCTTGTTTAGTTGCATATAAATGGTTTGACCTCGTTTTTCGCAAATTTTTGGTGTTGTCAGGGCAACGCAAATGAGCGCTTCTAATCCAAAATCTTCTGCTAAGGCAGTCATGATCGTTTCCAACTTCGGGCCCTTTAAATGCTACATTACCGGACGTCTTGCCGCCATAGTCGTCGGCACTGGTCTCTTTGGCGATGCCAAATATGAGGCCGATTATAATGTCAGGCAAACGTCTGAGAATGTACCAAGTTAAAGACCCAAAACTGGAAATTAGCATGACTTATTTTTCGTTTATAAGCAGGTTTTCGGGACTACTAATCGAATTTTATGTAAAAAGTGCATTCAACCTATTTAGATTTAAGGTGATAAAGGACTGTTAGTTGAATTTTCCCACAATCAAATCAGTAAGCCTTACGCTTCCATTGGATTTCCCATATCCTTTCTTCCGAAAAGGCATTTTCATCCAAGCAGGAGTGAACTGCAATTTAAACCGTGCCCGGATCTAAACAGCATTGGGTGTGAGTGCCACCTTTTTGGGGGCAAGGCTATGTGAAACTAAATGGAAACAAGGGCCTACTCATAGGATTGAAAAAAATTCAACTACCAGTCTTTCATCACTCTAAAACGCACAAGGATGGATAGAGATTTATGTAATTATCATTGCTAAAGTGACCAAACACTTCATCGATGTTAACTTTACAGCACAAGACCAAACAATTTCTATACGGCGAAATGAGAGGCTAAACTACATTCTTTGTTGAAGAGACTTTTATTTTGCATGCAAGTGCATAAAGTATAGATTCGAAGGACAAGCTCAAGAGAAGAGGACGGCTGATTCCCGTTGTACTGCTGCTATTTGGCTGTAGTAAGACGCAATCGGGTAATGACGAACTGAGTTATCGTTCATTATATGAATGGCTTCATCAGAACTGAACATTACAATGGTAAAAGTCTTACATTCTTGACCTAGTCCTAACGTGAGACTGTTACGAAAATCAGTTCCAGCTCTGATGATGTCCATCGTATGATGAACGAAAGCTCAGCATGTTTTCATCCGAAACGAAGGAGGATGTCTTGTGGACTGCGTCAACATGAACATCGAATTTAAGCCAAACTGCTGTAGTACAACAGGA